CCCGAGACCCCTGCGCGAGTTCTGGGGGGGGGGGTCGGGATGCGCCCGGTGCACCGGGAGGGCCCCGCCCCGGGACTGCCGCACTGTGAGGAGGGCCCGGCTGCGCCCCGAAACTGCCGGGTTCGGGTGGGCCGCTCCCCGAGCTGGGGTGAGTCCCGCGGCCCCCGCCCTCCAGGGAGCACCGAGCCCCGCACGCCCCCGCGAGCGTGTACCCACCGCCACCGGGCGCTGCACCGGGCTGGGCTGCTACCGCCCGGGCCTGGCTGGGGGAGAGACGGCAGGGTCCCGGCAATCTGGTCCCAATCACGGGGGAGGAAGGGCTCCCCAGTTCCCCCTCGCCAGCCACATCCTCCTAGGCGCCTCTGCAGGAGAAGGGGGCGCCACACCCGCAAGGCCCGAGTGGGCCCAGGCGCAGTCCGACTTCGCCCTGGGGCGGGCATTCCATGGACCCCCCCCTGGGCTGAAATGGCGGTGTCGAGGGGCTTGGTTTCTTTCTGGTCACCTAGGGACATTTTGGGGAAACCGAGGCAAGGCAGGACTCCCGACTTCCGCGGTTGCCTAGCCCCGCCCCCATCCTGGGCAGGCTGGGCGCGCCGCTTCTCCACTGTTTACCATGCTCCGAAGGGTCGAGGTCACAGTGGGTTTGGGCACCGAGCACCCAACCCCCTCGTCCACCCCAGGCTGGCTCGGGCCGGGCTGCCGGTCTCCCCAGGTCTGCCCTGGGAGACCTGTCACCCTTAGGGAGGGTCTTGGCGGCACCTGCCAGCCTTGATTATACCCCGAGGGGAAGCTGGCACTGTGGTTTTCTGGGCTTATTTGTAAGCTTCTGCAATTGCACAGTGTGGAATTAAACAGGGGAGCACGGGCCGCAGTGAACGGAGGGGCTCATCCAAGGTCACGGCATTCCACTTGACCCTACAGGTGGGGGGCGGTGCCGGTCTCCCTGCGAACTCGCACCCCTGCGCCCTCAGTCCTGTAAGGTCAGCTCGTGTCCCCCTCTGAGACGTGGACGCGGCACTCAGGAGAGCCAGGCAGCCAGCCCGGCTCACCTGCTGGCCACGAGATCCATGCCAACGGGTCACCTTGTCCCTAGGCCTAGCGAAAAGGTGCCCGGCCTGCGAGTCTGCTGCGTACACAGGCGTCCAGCGGGGCTGGCCAGTATATGCACGCACCACCGTCGGGGGGACAGGGCTGGGTCGCCGGAAAACCCATCCTGACCTCCCAGGGAGGGGGGTACCAAGAGGCGCTGTCACACTGAGAGACGTGGGGGTATCCCTAGCCCCCCCACCCGGTGATCGCCTCTCACCCCGTCCCCGCTACCCCACTACTGC